GGGGATTCGACTTCTCCCTGAATTGAGTTTTAAGGTTTTAAGATGAAATTATAGATAATTTAAAAAAAATTTTTTTTTTTTTGATCAATTAAGTTGTATCGTTTAATTCAAAACATTAATTTTGTAAGTTAGTAATTAATATTATTTATTACATGACTTATATAAGTATATACATAATTAAAGAATTAGTTATTATTATTATTACTTATTCAAGATTATTAATTGGAATAGAATTTAGAATATGAATATTCTTTCATTTTCTTCATGTATTCAGTTTGTGAAGGAGTTTCAGGATCATCACTGTTAATTAGTATAAATAATGAATTTGGACATCAAAGAATCAACTTATTGAATTTAATAATTTAATAAAACTGACTGAATTAATATTTATAATTTATATATTATCCTTTTTTTTTTTGAGTTTATTATTGAGTGGAAAGATGAAACCTCTCGAGGGATTAATTCGTTAAAAACAACCGGAGGGGGATAATTACAAAATCCATTGTGCGAGAGAAAGAGAGAGAGAAGGCTTTCAAGGGAGAAATAATTCACGACGAAGGTAATAATCTCTTCGAATCGCGAACGAGCCCGACTTTCAGTGCTCGGGGCCGGACTGATATTTCGGACGACCAATTTCGATCGGTCCGGTCCCGGACGATTTACGCGAAAAATTCGAACGGTTATTGGCCGGGGCGAAATTCCCCGAACGCGGAATTTCAATTCCGACCGATTCCAGCGTGATGATAAAAAATCATTCGGCAATTTCACCCCTCCTAATTGCAACCCCTGCCGCGCTTTTACCCCACGAATTACCAAAACTGTACAAATATATCATCAGCTAATAAAAACATCGTCGAAACTCTGTCAGCGAGAAAAATTTCAATATTGATTGCGCGCTCGTTATGCACAACATTTATAATATTCGATAACCACTGCCGGATTGTAATATCCGGTTTACTATCTGCAAATAACCATAAGCATAAATATATCACTGACTAATCAATTCTTTATGAAACAATTTTATATTCGTTCGTCGGTATTAATAATGGGTACAACGACGGTGATACGTATAGCTAGGCGGATTACTGATAATTTGGCTGAAATTATTGCCTGTCCCACATTTCGGATTTATTTCTGTTTAAAACATTCCGCTATCGCGGATATCTCACGCTGTAATGACGTTAATTCAAAGGCAAACAGTGCATACATTTCATGCGAGTTATGAAAACAAAATGTTGCTATTCACATGTACGTTTGCTACTTTATCTACGCGTTATCGGTAACATCGGTGCATTTCTATCTATTTAGAATAAAATCTATTTCAGAAACAATTCGAATTAAATAAATTCAAGGCAGAGTTGTTGAAAATTCTTGAACTACGTCCGCTATCTCGATCAATGTACGTGCAATGTACGATCAATTTCTTTACAGAATGCCGCGACGTTTATCGAGGCGCCATAACCGCGCCGGTATCCCCATAGACGGGCAGAATAAACAGGGAATACCGCGTCCCGGGAGAAATTACACAGAGTGGCCACTCTCGTCCTGTAGAGGACTAATTCGTCGAAGATATATATACTAGCGGAACGTAATTTTCTTGGCAACCGGGGACTCGACTGAACAGCTCGGAAGAAAGGCCAAAGCATCGGCGAAACGCAGGCACGATCAAAGGAACCGTACAGGTTTCGAAACGAGTGAAAGTCGACTCGGAAAAAAGCTGGAACGCCAGGCGCCGGTCGAACACTTTATGTGCGTGTAAGCGAGTTCGTCGCGTCGAAACGAAAGGATAATCCTGTTGGAACGTGTGGTGAACGTTCAGGGATCAAAGTGTACGCGTTAAATTACCAGCGTCACGAAAGATGACGAGAGAGAACGCAGGGCACTGGGCGAATTCTCTGCGAAACCGCGTGGAAACCCAGACACGCAGCCCCGAACACGGGGGGATGCATTCGAACGCGTGAACGCAACATTCCAGAGACCGCTTCTCTAACAAGGACAGACACTTCGGTCCATTGACGTCACGCTGCGTCTCTAATCGCTGCATCGTGTACCGCGCGCGCACGCGACGCATGCACGCACACACGACACCAGGAACGAAATACCAGGTTGGAAACGACGCGTTTAAAGGGCAGCTATCCAGAACATCTGACGCTGATTTGTCTCCAGCGCAGCGCGATTCCTTTCATTCCCGCCACTTTCTATGGCTATAATCATCGCGAAGGATCGAATAACGAGCGTCAATTTATGCGATTTTTCAGCACGCAGGACAATTTTGATTTCAATTTCGAAACTCTGATATACAGTCAAACCTGTTTTAGTGTGGTAGATAGGGACCGCACAAAAAAAAATATTGAGAAATTTCATAAATAGCTATAACAAATAGTTTTTTTACAATATATTAAAAAAATTTTTTTTACGCGGTGAAGAGGGACCGCAGGAAAAAAATTCACTTAGAACATATGTCAAAGATTTACGAGATAGCGAGAAAGTGGTTTCCAAACAAAATAAATAATTAAATTACATATGGACACATTTAAAATGAAATTTAATTTCTCATTTTAAACATGGAAATTTTCACACAATTAAACACTACTCGTCTTAATCCAAAATGCGCATCTTCTTGCGATGAACTCTTTCAAAATCGCTTTCGTCACTTGAACATATTACAGTTGCTTTATTTTTTGTTATCATGAAGTCGGTGATCGTTTGATCAGCCAGGCTCATCGACATGATCGAAGCTGTTTTTGGAATTTCAAACGCCTTTCGGAAATATTATCAACTTTAAGAAAATGCTTTTCCAATTTGTTGCAAAGCTGGATCCCTGCATATATTTTATCCACTGTCATAGAATGCGATTCTTTTTATTCGTCTTCAAAATCTATTAAGTTATTGATCATGTCACTATCATTGACGGTTTCGGCCTTAATCATTTTCGATAAGCTCATTTTCGCTGAAAGTGTCAAAGCCTTCTCCGCAACATGTTATGTGCTAGCGCAATGATTTCTGATGATAACGTGCACGTGTTTTCGGTTACATTCCTATTAATGACACATTCAGGCCAGCACGAATTTAAAGTGTGTTTGCAAAATTGCTGCAGTGA